TCTTTAGAAATCAGATTAGTAGTCCTGCAGGAGGAAAAAAAAAAAAAAAAACTAAAAGTTACATGGCTGAAAATTACCTGAGATCCGAGAATGACAGCACCCTTTTCCAAGAAGAGAGTGAGATGGCTGGTAAGATTGAAACTTCCGGTAAGCCATCTTCCCAGAGGCACATAGAGCTGTGCACCACCCTTGTCCGCAAAGGATTTAAGATAGAAAATTGCATTTTGGAAGGCAAGGGTATTCAATGTTTTGCCATCTCCAACAGCACCAAATTCCAAAATGGACACACTGTGCGGCCTAGGGTCGAATGTCAACTTATAATCACACCGTCCATTGCTCTCTTGCCCATAAATTACGACTGCATTGCACAATGCCAGCAGCAAAAGGAATGCCGCCTGCAGAGGAAGTAAATCAAAATGTCATCAATACTGATACTAAAAGTAGATTCTTCACAAGCAAACCAACAAGTATAATAACAACCAAAGACAAACAGAAATTTCACAACCACTAATCTGAGAGCAAAACCAATTGGATATGTAGCAGAAAGCATTGATGAAAATCTACACATAGTGAACGCAGAGAAACACAATTGTAAACAGCAGAATAAGCTGCCGATCAAGAAAAAAAAAAAAAACAAAAAACAAAAAAACAGCAGAAGAAGCTGCCCTTTGTATTCCAAAGCTAAAATAAGGAAACTGCTACCCAACTTTCCTAACCCAGGAAGAAAAGGGATAAACAAACAACTTTGCACACATTGTACAAAGTACAAAACTAAAGAATCAATGAATGAAAATTATTACAGCAGAAATTTTTTATTTAGAGAAGATTAACTTGGTTAGCAATGCATGTGGCCAGATTTATTATTTTACCAAACCAATGGAATTGCCAGGGAAGTAAGGAAAAAGGAAATCATAAACAGCAAAAACAACTAACCACTTAAAATGTCAAAAATCATAGGATGGCTTTTGTAACTCCAGAGAAGGAAAGGTCAGAAAACTCCAGAACTCAATGAAAGAAAAAACTGACTCTTCAAAAGGACACAACAGAGAATTAAATTCCTATATTCAAGCGGAGGAATATCAAAGGACAAGTAAAGAAAAAGAGCATAAGATTTATTAGAATATGAAAACAATATGAAACGTTACTTACATGAGGAAAGAATTGAACAGACTTTTTAAGCATTGAAACAGGTGAACACAGAATAGAAGATTTCAGGAAGATAAACAATGATGAATCAAAATTGAATTGGCACCATTGAAAACGGCCAGAATCAGGAAAATCCTCCAAAAAAAAAAAAAAATTAGTTAAAACTTAAGCTTCAAACAACCTTTACAGGAATCCCAAATGAAAGAAAAAAAAAAAAATCAAATCCAACGAACCAACTTTAAAGATTTCCTGATTTGACCATAGCCAAAAAGTGGAAACAAAAGGGAACACCAAAAACCCAGGTAAAAGAAAAAACGTACTTACTGGCATCTTCATGTGTCACAGACCTCTTGCAGCAGATACAGTCCCCAAACGCAGATACCCTCAAATACCCAAAGGAGCAAACAGCTAAAAAGCGGCAGAAGAAGAAAGGAACCACCACAAAACCAAGACAGCTTCTTTCTGTAAGTATGTGAATAATGAGCATTAATTATATATAAATGACAAAAAATTGAATCATTTTTTTCATTTTACCAAAATAATTTACGGGGTAAGTGGAAAAATTCCATCTTCCTAATGAAGATGACAGCTTTTCCATGCATAGCAAATAAACAGGGTCAGAGGAGAATAATGGGATATAATATGCATTAAATCTCCACTTACCCGAAATTTAAGTAGTAAATATGATTGATAACGTCTCTAGACGACATATTTGTTCCAAACGGCACTCCATTAGAAAAGAAAAGACAAAGTCACCGTACTATTAAGAATTTTTAGTCCACACAGTGACTGCATTTATTATTTGCCAATTACATTTGTTAAGATCGGATTAGTGAGAGAAATAGTAGTGAACGTAAAAACAACGGCGGGGAAATGGGGGTGTGATAAAGTGACCACCTTGGAGGTGATCTAGATTGTCTTCTTAAAGTTGGGAAAATGCCAAGTTAGTCCACAGTTTTCTTCAATGTTGACAATTGAGTCCTTGTAGTATTTGTTTTACAATTAAGCCCATCATTTTGTTAAACCTGAAATTAATGATTATAGTAGTTATTTGAGGGTACATGATTTTGTCCTTAAATTAACAAAAATATTATAATTACAATGCCACATAGTGTTGTAAGTTTTTAATATAATGTGTCATTAAAATAATTAATTTTTTAATTTAAAAGTTTATACGTAATATTATATACATTCATTTATTTAATATTATATAATATTTATTTAATGTTACATCATGATTATAAACTTAAAATCATGTGACATTATAATTATAATTATAATATTATCGCTAAATTAACATTCTAGTTTTATTTTTGTACATTAGAATAAAGCAAGTGTTATGTTAATGACCTTTTATCTCATTGCATGCCTTTCAAAGAGGTTAAAAGGTTGATTTTAAATAAGGCAAATAAAAATTGTTTTTAACTTTACATGTTAGTGTAAGAAAAATGGTGCAGTAATGGTTACCTCTAAAGCTCTTACCTTTCTCACAAGGCTTCCATAACCCAACATGAGCTTTCTTCTTTCAAAAGTTGAGAGGCAAGGACTTGCTTGCTAAAATGAAGAAGTTCTAGGGCTTATTAGGTGTCTTTGTACTTTTTCTATCACATGGACAAATTGGAAGGGAAGGATGGAAAAGGGTGAGACTATGGGTGATGGAAGGGACTGAAGGGGAATATAATAATGCATGGGGCATTGAGGTCGCATGTGGTTTTGACAGGGCAGAGTGGGACCCACCTCAATCATGGCCAAGATGCTAGCCTGGCTTACAATACATCACAGAAGACAAAACCAAGAGAGAAACAGAGGATTGAGAGCGTGAGTTATGCTACTAAAGGCTTTGGGTTCAGAGTAACCAATGAGGTTAAGTTTTGGTAACATGCCCACTGGATTCATGTGGAAGATTTCAGCTGCCGCTGGTTTTTTCCTTTTTTTATTATTATTATTATTTTTTTTGGGTGTGGAAGAAGATTTCTGTTTTGGGTTTCAAAATTTACTTACCGAGTTACTAACACAACATTTTAAGAACTGAGTTAATAAATCTCAAAAAAAAAAAAAAAAAAAAGATCTGAGTTAATAACAAATCAATAATATATCAACATTTCAAACAATAAAAAATATTTTTGACACCAACAATAAGAATTTCATGACATGTGTAGAAGATTTAAGAGAAAAGAAATGTTTTTACATATTTATAATTTATTATTTGACATGCTAAAAAAAGGATAGAACTATGTGACTTTAGTATTTACTTGCATGTTAATAATCTTATTAATTCATCTTATATCATGTTAAACATATAACTGCAATGTTATTACACAAAATTTTGAGAGGACCAGCTCTACCAGTGGAAGAATGTATCTGCAAATCTTGAAAGAAAAATTTTACAGCTTGCCATTTTCTGCAAGTGGGAAATGTGGGAATATGTTTTATGTATCAAAATTGGGTCCGCAAATCTGATGGCATTTAAGGATTATCTGCTGACAGATCAGTCTGTTTAAATTTAACAAAACAACTAAATCATTCTGCATTCTTTCTCTTCTTCCTTTGGATACTTCTGCCCCACTTTTTTTCAGTGCCCCCACCAATGCAGCCTGCATTTGGACAAACTTTGAAAACTCGAAACAGAATCTTCACTGCTATCTTCTGAATTATCACCAAAAGTTTCATCCAAACTCATTAAGAAAAAAGGATAACATAGAGCAGCCAACCTTTCTAACTCCTTATTATAACCGGAAGAGATGATAATTATGAAACTAATTCTCCAGCCAAAAGGAGTAAGGATAATGAAAAATTAAATGCAGTATCAAAAGGTCAATCTACAATAAAGAATAGAATCATTGAGATGAGAGTGCAAAAGGGAGAAGAAACTATTCTGTTCTTTTTTTCTTTTTTTTTTGGCGTAAACATCACACTTGTCCAATTTTCGTGAACTGGTCCTTTACTTCATATGGAAGAGGAGCGCCATTCACGCCAAGACTTGTTAACCTTATTGACATGGGACCAACTCATTTGAGACAACTATGAAGAAAAATGAAATAGACAATCCCCAATACAGATAAGATGAAAGTCATCTTTATTCAATGAATATATGCCTTGCAAAGCAGATTGATAACCAAACCTGATGATACTGATCTGATGCACATCAACTATCACTCTGAAAGATCCCCATTACTCTTTGTCTGGATACCATTACCATATCTTCTTTTCGAAGAAAACAAAGGATTAGCTTAAGCTTAACATCGTACTCAGCTCAGCTTGAATCATAACAAATGTCGATCCAATCGGATCTAAGCTACAATCATTCAAATATGTGATGCAGAAAAGGACAGACTAATGGCTGCCCCACTATTGAATACGTCTGTTGGACCTCTTCTGATATTGGGCTCTACTGATGATAATGATCAAGCTAACATATCAAGTCAGTCCAGATGGGAAAGAAGAGTTCCAGGCGACAAGATCCAGCAATCAGGTGTGCCAAAATCCATGGTGAACCCTGTGAAGAGAGAGGTCTATGTCAGCTACTTGGAAAAATACAATGGAAAAACCAGCACGGCAGATGAGCTATTGTCTGCATCAGTTTTTCTTAGAAAAGACCATATTCCATAACAGCGGAAACGATTAGTCATCACTAACTCAGGGCCCTACATATGAAACTCCTTATAATGAAGTACATGAAAACAGCATTCTTGGTCCCCCCCTCATGCAGCTGTCTTTTTGTTTTGTATTACAGATGCAATGCAAGAAGGAAAGCTAAATACGTTTCCCCCATGTGTGCCATAACCTCCGTGTATCAGTTCCAATCAACGCAACTGATGACAATAATGAGAATAAAAAAGCAAATTGATGACCACAAAATGAGACAAGGTAAAATAGAGTTTAGGATCGACAAGCTAAACTGGAATGACATGGCTGGAAAATTCAATGCTCTGTTCTTTTTGTAGACACCATGACGAGCTAATTGGCCCAACAGTAGTAGAAACCAGCAGCGGAAGTTTCAGTCAGGTGCATTTGCATAATCCTTGTCTGTCTTCAACTCCCCTAGTCCTGTAGCACCTAAGCTTTCAAGTTTAAAAGGATAAACTGGAATTCAGTACTGGTTTCAATTTTCAACAACATTTTTTCCTGGAAAGAAAGTAGAAGTAGTAAAGTTTCCAGCACCAGAAGAACTAGAAACAAGAAAAGCTGACTTACAGCTAGTAAATCACTAATAAGATGATTCAATGACTTGAATAAAAGGATATCACTAATAAGATCAAGACATGAATCTAACCATCAAACAAGCCATTTAAAGAACATTTGCTCAATTAATTTCTCCTCAACAAACATGCTAGAGAGTTTACAATGAGGTGAATTTCTTCTTGATGCTCTCTGTGAGACAGGAGAGTAGGGATGAACTTATCATTTGAAGCAGCAAGCGTTGTATTTATAAGATTAAGTTAGCTCCAAATATACATGACTTTATCTTGTTTCTAACTTTCTTTTCTCTATGCCCACACATTTAATTAGGCAGCAAGACGGACTAATTATACAAGGATAATATACATATTCAGAAGCATAAGGAATAGCTGTTTTCATCTCTGAAGCTGCTCAGAAGTGTTAGTAGCGGATGATGTTTCTATCCTGCCATTTTCGATTCCATTATCCACAGGCACTGGTACTCCCCACCTTTTCTCAGCCTCAGAGGGTTCTATAACTTTAACAGTTCCATCTGTAAGTCCAACAGCCAATTGATTGGGCTCCTGAGGGTGTGCTGTGACAACTAGCGGGTACAGAGTTTGGCTGTCAAGGTAGAATATTGAAGTTAAAAACATGTGAAAGGAGATGAAAAATAAATATTTGTCAGCTGAGATAGTAGGATACTACTCATCCTAGTAAAACTCATTCAAACCCCAAATGAATAATTCATGTGAGTGGCAACCCAGGTATAGAAATGGACATATTACCTGTTCAATGATGCTGGGGGCATATATGCAGATGGTGCAATACGGCACCTTAGCCGCAAACTATCAGCATCAAATACTCCAATGTTACCATCAGCAAATGTAGCATAAACTAGTTGGCTGTTGCAGGAATATACTGCCCAAGATATGAGCGAAGAAAGTGCATCTTGTGGAACCCACTGTGATATAAAAACACATTAGGAAGTTGAAGAGTGCATGCTTAAGTAAATTAAATTAAAGGTAGCATTATTTTATACCTGCTGTAAGCGCTCCATCTTGGAAGCATCATATATTGCAAGTTGAGTCTCATGGCATACCAACAATCGAATTTGATCAGAATGGAATTGCACTCGAGTGTCACCTTGAGGTGCCTTTCCAGCAGGCAGTTGGATCGCTATTGACTTTCTCTTTTCCCAAGTGTCCGTGTTCCAGAAGAAAAGCTGTATAAAGCAACCAATGAAATAATTCCAATAAAAATATATAAGGGGAAACAGAAATTTCCACAGGTGTGGGCCATGTGAAAAACAAAATACAAATGGGATGTTAAATAAAGAAGTTAACGATATGCCCGCATTGGATGAGGGAAATGCAAATAGGAATCTTGCATTAGCATTTGACTATAATATCAGACACACATGAATCCACACGAAAGCAAACACTAAACCACGATGTTATAGAGAGAGGTCAAATGTGAAACAGACCTGAGCATCAGCACCTGATGAGACCAATACGTTAAGGCTTGTAGAAAATGCTAAACCAGTTATGCGTTTCTGGTGACCTTTCAATTTTGTTTTAACCTAAAAGTATCACAAAAGGATTTACATTGAATATCACAAGGCAGATCATATCAGTATCACAAGATATAAGGATTTGATCAAACCCATTACCTCATCCACCCGAACATTGTAAATGTGGATGGTTGAATCCTCCATTCCAATTGCTATGATGTTATTATCTTGAGGATGAAATGCCAAAAAGGTTGAAGTAGGAGGTGGCGGCATAAAAGTTGTCATTACCTTCAAACCAATAGAGTTTCACATCAAGCTTGTTATTAACTTCCAATGGCTATCAAACTTTACAGCAAAATACAGCTAATCCAAAATCCAATGGTTATTAGAGAAACCATCGTGAAATATACACTAATTTACCTTAAATGTCATCATATTGAACAATGAAACCTTTCCCCCACATGCAGACATTACATAGGAATCATTCTTTGACAGGGCCATACAAGGAACTGCTTCCTCCAAATTGTCAGGGACATCATTAGTCATGAGCAGACCATTGCTTGGTTGCCAATGTTGTGGAACAACATTAGCACTAGCCTGCAGAAACGCATGTAAGTTGGAAAGTTCTATGGGGAAATTTTGCTTCCAAATCACATCAACAGTAACAGATCAGAATCAAATATATGTGTGTGCCTGTTGGCCCTCTTTGTGTATGTATAACATCAAACTAGCTAGGTATGTGAATGTAATAATAAATCACCTTCCCAGTGGGATTTTGTTCACTACGAATCCATTTCCATAATTTCTGAACCCCATTCGATCCAAGAGCCAGAATGCCAACACCAGAATTTGTATAAAGAAGCCGAACAACCTTGACATGAAAGAAAATTTGTTAATCATAATTGATGACCTTTTCTTAACATTAAGGTGTTGTCTTGAGGCACATAGTCCTGAAAGATGACTTTAAATCAATTAAAGAAGACAGAAGAAAACAAAATTTCTCTGAAAAAATAATACCTTGCTATCTGAGTTATCTGGCATGGTGACTGTTCTGCACTGTAAAGGATCAACAATCTCGGTCAGTTCCCAATGTCTGCTTTTATCAGAAACATCCTCCAATTTCCTTGGCTTATTCTCAATGCTCCTTCCCATGGATTCAATTCCATTCTGCAAAATTTGATGTAAGAAATAGATATTTGTTGAAGAAGTTTTGTACATTTGCACCCCTAAGTTATATGTATTAAGCAAAAGCACTGTCAATTTTTTTCTTTGATACGATACTTTTATTATTGATATTTCAAGCCATGGTAGAGGAGTGATCTTCAGGAAATAACTTCTGATCAAAATGAAAAATTAAAAAGAAGAAAGAAAAGATTTATTTAGTACTAGAGAGAGCATACAATGATAGGAGTAGGCTTGGCAGGAGAGCTCTGCTCAACACGTTCCACTTTACTAACCACTGGACTTATGCTTGCAACCATCACAGAAGTAGACACCTGATACAAGATCAAGCAAATAAGTTGTCAACAGAAAAACATGATGTAAATCAATTTCAAAGGAGCAAGTTAGCAAGGTGTTGAAATAAAATACCTTCATTTCAATGGGTGTTTTGGATGCATCATAAGATTGAGCCTCAATTGCTCGTAAAGTTCTAAGACCATTGGTATTTGCAAGAATCTTGAAACCATTGTCTGCCGTGGTAACAGCAAGCAGATTCCCTTCCTTATTAAATCTAACATGAGGAAGATTCTAAAACAACCAACATGTCATGAAAGAATGTATATAAAATTAGTGCTATCTGCCCATCATCTCTGAAATCACCCAAAAGAAACTTCAAATTGAATGATAAAGATTCTAACCAGAAGTCCACCCTCAGCTTCTGTACTTGTGACCATACTTGGATTGTCCGCATCCCAAAATTTAATCTGCCCATCCTCACCAGCTGCCAAAAAGCGATTTCTTGTCATATCAAATTGTACTATGCCGGCAGATTTCTTTCTGAAGCCTGAGTACACCCTCTTTAGTGTTCCTTCGGTTTCATTCCATTCAACCAGGAAAGAGTCCCCTTCTTTATTTGTTCCACAAGAGAACAATCTGGATTACCAGGAAAGAAGTGTTACAACTCAAATATGACCAAAAACTATAATAAATAAAGAGGCCATTTGGTAAAGCTTTTTCTAGAGTTGCTTTTTAGCAAAATTTTCAAAATCTGTCTCTTATGTTTGAAAATTTTTGGAGGGAAAACTTAATTTTTAGGGAAAAAGTTGCTTATAAGCAGATTTTGCAAAAAGCAACAATCCATTGCTTTCTCCAAAACTTGCTATTTTAGCACTATTTTGCTAAAAAGCAAACATTTCCTCCAAAATATTTCAAACTCAAGAAATATTTTGAAATTTTTGCTAAAAAACAACTCCAGAAAAAGATTTGCCAAATGGCCTCAAACCCTTGAGAAGATTTTGTAGCATCACTTGGATAAAAAAGCTAACAGAAAATGTTACTTTGCTCTTCATTCACTTACCGGCTTCCATCAGCACTGTAGAGCATTTTTGTACATGAATGTCCAGGAGCATCATAGTCAACCCTAGAGCCCAAATTGTCATACAACCAAGCCTTTATTTTCCCATCAACAGCAGTGGAAAATATAAACTACAAAAAAAAAGGGTAATTAAGAAACAAACAAGAAAAGCTCAATTCGGATCAAACACATTTTTGAGAGAGTAATATACAAAATATAAATGTTAGCATCACCTCCTTCTGAGATATTCTTTTTAATTCATCAATTGAAATTTTGCTTTGAACTCTCCTACCTGAATACATTCCTTCTGGTGAGTACAAATAGAATAAACAGGTGCCTCATGGCCTTCAAAATTAAAGAGCTTCCTTCCAGCCATATCCCATACCTACAATTGCAAGGTTATTTTACTGCTCAGTCAAAGAAAAATAATGAATTTCAAATAAAACATTTTCCAGGATTATTTTGCCCATTTCCTCACTTTTATTAACTTATCATCTCCACATGTTACAACAACCAGTTGCCTGTTTGGATGCGAGAATACCAAGTCATTTACACTTCCAATATGGGCATCAATCTACCAGAAAACAGCAGACAATAGTCAGTCTACAGCTACACATGATGCCTTCATGAAAAATGCATTTTTAAAAAATAAACTACAAACATGCCTCCAAATGTTGACGCAGATCATTAGACCCTTGATAAGCATACAAATGAACCAGATGCTTCGAATATGCAACCCCTACAAAAAGAAAAACATTGTAATGAAGTTCAACAAGTATAGGATTAGATGCTAGATATATGTTGCTTCACATACCAATCAAGCTTCCATCTGGACTCCATACTACACGACTGACGGATAATGACAGATCTTTGCCCTGCAACAGATTCTCTAATTTTATAATCCCCGAAAGTTGTAAGTTGTTTGTACTTTCTACTGGTTAAAATATCCAGCAGTGTGTCAACAATTATTAAGTTTCAGGAATATCTGAAAGAGTGGCAGAAATGACTTGGTTGGTCAAGTACTCAAATCAGCCAGACATGTTTTTGAGACATTGAAAAAGCTATGATGACAATAACAATCAAACGGGTTGTTTTAATAGAAATATACTTTTCTTCCTACCTTTTAAAAAAAAAAAAAAATTTCCCAAAAGCTTCCTAATTGAGCAGTAAAAGAAACAGGAGACATGAAGATTGCGGTTTCTGAATAAACTGGGTCCCAAACAACACCTATCCCAAAGAAATGGAATACTAGCAAATGACCATGTGTGTAGTTTGCATTGATCTACATCTTTTGACCACAACCCAAGTAGAAAGAGCATTAGTGGCAGCAAAATAACCACAAAAACACAAAGAAAAAAATTATAACCAAGAGTAATTAGTTTTGTCATTTAGATGATGGCTAGATAGCTTAGACTAGCTTCCCTTATCAAGGTCACCTTAAATCGGCAAAAACAATCCAATTTTTAATATATAGTGCAATCCAATTAACAAGAAATAGCATAGAAATATGTTACACAAGACAAGGACACCTGCCTGAAATGGAACTGAACAAGCTGTCATATCCCATATCTTGAATGGTTTTGAAACCAGCCTCTCTCGCTTCCCAATTTCCCATAAGGTAATTTCACCATTGCCACAACCAACTATTCATAAATACGTAGAAAAGTTTAATGAAGCAAATCCATAGCAACTAAAGAACAGAAACAGATAATAATTTAAAATCACTAAGAGGAACTATTAGCATAGATTAGAGTCATCACCATACCAACAAGTAATGTTTGAAAAGAAGGATGAAAATCCATGCTTGTCACAATGGATCCCTGATGCATTGAGCAGGCAACAGTTCTTGGAAGTTCATCAAGTGCCCATGAAGCTTGTTGAGGAGGAGCTGGGTATGTAACCTACATTGATTAAGAATTCTCTTAATTTGCAACACCTGGTTATCCAATAGCATAAAAAAGAAAAAGAAAAAAAGAAGGTAGGGGCAAGGGGTGAATGAACATGCATTAAATTCAACACAAGAGCATGCAAGGGATGTAAGCTTTACAAACTTAAAATACCTCATCAACAGATTGAGCAGACCGTAAACGTTTCAGTAACTGCTCATTATCAGAGTTCTGATAATCCATCATCCCAAGTGTATTTGAGGGTGTTCTTGGATGTTTCAAAACAGAGACTGCAATGAAGGAAAAGAAAAAAAAAAAAAAAAAACATTACTGTAACTAATGAAATGTTCCTGCTCAGTTCATCATAGTCTTCACAAAAATGGTATTTTGCAAATTGCAACT